AAGAGAGAGACCCCTGCACAGCTCAAACGCCAGTTGCAAGAGCTCTAACATTTTTAGCTCAACATTTGTCTTATATGGTATTATTTCTGTACTTCAGACGTGACACACGCCACACACTGTTTCAAACATTGCTTATATGGAAAGTTTCTCTTTTCTGTGTCTTTATCTATTAATATGCCTGTGCACTAAAACTTCCTGTTTTTTAGTCTGGGTGAGCACTTTGTGAGTCAAAAGTGGCCTTGCTCCACAAGCCTTCATTATTAAAGTACATAAAACAATATAATAGGAAAATAAGGATACTAAGGATATTGATTTCATGACAAAATATTATATTATAAATGTATTAAGAAAAAAAAAGAAAAGAATGAAATGGCATTCAAACCATCTATTTTTCCTTACTAATTAGCAAGTCTATTTTTCATACAATTCCATAAAGGGAAATGAAAAGCTTCTAATTTTCTTTCCACAAATGTAGATTTGGTACTGTATGACATTTGTTTTTTGAGGGTGTTTTGGGTCCTCCAACCTAAGGAGGTCAGGACCTTGTATGGCAACCCTAAGGGATTCGGCTGTAAGTGTGTGTGATTCATAGATACACTTTAAAGCACTCTTTAAAACACAGCTGAGCTCGATAAATGCAATTTTTCATCTCACTCAGTCACAAGAACAGACAGTTTCAGTGTAGAAACACCTACATCTATTGACATCTATTAACCTATGAGCTACAGGTATCGGTTGACAATGAGCTCACTCTGAAAGTCATGTGCGTCATTTTTCTAGCATTGTTCATTTGGTAAATCCCTGTTTGGTATTTAGTATCACCCAAGTGACTAGTGTTCTCATAAATATGCCAGTTCAAAATATTCATTTTATTGTTTCACAGAAAATAAAAAAATGATGACATTGGTGGCAGTCTGTATTTCTGTGTAACTCGTTTTGGTGTTTTTTTGTTGTTTTTTTCCCATTATATTGGCCATTGTTATGCACATGAAACTGCTATCTTTTCTACAAGTGTTGAAAAAAGCTGGTTGGGTGACATTTCTTCACAAACCTGTTTGACCTTGCATACAGCACTAGAAAAACACCTCCTCTGTCACCTCCTTTAAAATTTTAACCACTGAGCAAGGAACTCACAGTCAGCTTCTTCTCTGAGTGATCAGCTGAAACAACTACCTGCTGAACTTTTGTTTCACACACAAAGCTCTCAAGGACACTCAATCTTTTTTCTTTGACAGGATCAACATGGTTGCTGGTTGTAGACAGCTTGTTGGTTTATTTTTGGGAGTCATCGGCTTTCTTGGGTCGATCATCACCTGTGGACTCCCACAATGGCGAGTCACCGCTTTCATTGGTGCCAACATCGTCACTTCTCAGGTCATCTGGGAGGGTCTGTGGATGAGCTGTGTGACCCAGAGTACAGGCCAGATGCAGTGCAAGGTCTATGATTCTATGCTAGAATTAGCTCAAGACCTGCAGGCTGCCAGAGCACTCACTGTCATCGCCATCATCGCTGGAGTTTTTGGGATTCTGCTTGCGGTGGTTGGAGGCAAGTGCACAAATTTTGTCGAAGACGAAGTGCAAAAGAGCAGAGTGGCAGTAGCTGCTGGAATTGTCTTCATCATTGCCGGCCTCTTGGTGCTTATTCCAGTCTGCTGGACTGCTAACACCGTCATTCGTGATTTCTACAACCCTACCCTGATTGCTGCACAGAAGAGAGAGCTGGGAGCATCTCTGTACATCGGCTGGGGAACTGCAGGGGTTCTGATCCTGGGAGGGGGCCTGCTCTGTAGCTCCTGTCCCCCCAACAATGCCACTGATTATGACGTTAGGTACTCCAAGGCTCGCTCTGTTGATAGTCATAAGGAATATGTTTAGATAGCGAGCATTCTGCTGGATATCTTAAAGAGTCCACCTTTTAGAATTACAATGTCTGTGATTAAAATAAGTCGAAATGTTTAGAGTGAGAATGTGTAACTTAAGCTTTTTTTCTTCAAAATATACACACATGCAGTATTTTCAGCCTGTTTTTGAATATATCTGTTGTTTTTATGTTTTCTACCACCAGAGATTTTTTTACATTTTTATTTTCTGTTCTTTTTTATATCAATATGGGATACTTTCTTTCAGGGTTATGTCTGAAATCTGATGCTTGTTTAATTAAAACCATTGTAAATCCGTATTAACACCCTTGTAACTCTAGACCTCATTTTTTGACTGCTTTCTCTGTTAAACTAGTGGAATACTGATGGATAAATATATATATATATATATATGTGTATTATGGATGACTGTATGTCAATAAAATTGTATTAAATGTGCATGTGACATTGCTTGTGGTTTTTTTTTTAATTTCATCATAAGATGAGTCACACTAGTGACAAACAGTAAAGAAATTCAAACAGAAGATCTGGTTTTGCGAGTGTCCTTGAAAGAATCTTTACAAACTGGTTTTGGGACATTTCCTTCTCATCAAAGAGCCTGAAAAACAGACACTGGATGCTAGCATTTATGTAATGCTATTTAGTATGTGTTCATTTCTTTATTTAGTTTTGTGGATTTCTGAATTAACACCAAAATCAGGATAAAAAATATTCTTAAATACAGCACTGAAAACTTGGCTCTTTGTATCTGATGTTAAAAAACATTTAAAAAAAAAATAATGTGTAGCATTTTTAGTGAACGCACATTAAACCAGTGTTTCAGTTCCTTTAAAATCCTTATTGTCTCAGACAGTAGATATAAAGTTGAGCTAATTATACATAGGAAGAGACTTTATTTAGTCCCACACGAAGGAAATTTCCTTGTTACAGTAGCACAAGGGACAGAAAGAAAAAGTGAATTAAAAATATACTAGAATTTTTTTTTTTAATTTGCAAATTTGCAAAAACTACTATACTATGTAGATATGTAGTATATACAATAACATATACCCCAATTTTTTATATGTACATAATGTGCAGTGGGACCGATAGTAATACACATGTAATACACTTAAACAGTACTTATCCTGTGTGGGTATTGTGCTCTCTGTTGAAGCACCTGTGATAGCTCTTCATCTTACACCACGGTAGTAACAATCTACTGCTGAAGGAGCTGCACAGGGACTCCACAGTTGTATGCAGGGGGTGAAAGGTGTTGTCCATAATGTACATTAGCTTGGCCATCATCGAGCTCTTACCTGCGTCCTCTATGATGTCTAGGGGACTGGCAAGGCCAGGACAGTTAGACTCAAAGAATGTTCAAATGTGTTTTCCTGAATCAGCTTAATCATTAAAACCGTGCATAGTTTCTGTTTCTGAGGAAACAAGGGGGGAAAAGTCATTCACAGTGGTACAAATTACAATACATGAGCTTATCTACACAAAATATCTCTGTTCAAATAGGTAAACCTTAAAAAGATTTCAAATTAAATGCACTGTGTTGTATCAGGCTTAACCATAAAATTAATTCCAAAAATAATTTATAGCCCCTGTAAAGTCTAACCTTTATAAGTCATAGAGATTAAAAATGATTTCGAGCTTAATAAAAAGGTTTCATTTTCTGCCACACAAGTTTACATAAGTGTGTGTTCTCTTGTGTGGTACGGGGTTTTGCATATTTCGAACAGGTTTTTCTGCACTGTGTGCTATTCAAGTGAAACTTCTGTCCTGTCCTCTCCCAGGGAACTTTCCACCCTCCTTCTGTTTCACATACTCTGCATGCGCACATTATTCAAATACATTAGCTGCGTGAAGAGGCCTCTGACCTAACACATGTATTAAGTTCTTAATCAAATTAAATCACCTGTTAATCAAATGCAGCATTTTCGCAGAGGTATTGTATGTGACAGATTAACATCAGAACAGACCATTGGTAGGCGTTGGTTTATACCTGTCTCTTCTGCCTACTTCATAGCTGTTGTTTACAAAATGTTCTCATGAGGCAAAGATAATGAGTGAGGGTGATGTCATTGCCTATTCATTTTCTTTCTCTCTCTCTCTCTTTCTCTCTCTCTGTCAACTTCCAGTCCTTTATTTTTTCTACAGAGTAGGTGTGGCACTGTCTACACCTGTCCAGTACCACATAGGCGTCTGCTCAGGTGACAAAAAAGAACGAATGCTCTCAGGTGCTTAAGTAAAAAGTAAAGAAGGAAGAGGCAGAAAGGCATGGTACAAAAGGGGAGGGACATATGCTGTAAACAAATGAAGTGAGGCTTAAGTAAGACACGCCTCGATCCCAGTAGCAAAAAACTGTAGGCAGGACAACAACTGCAACAGACTAGGCTCTCCTGACATACATAGTTTACAACACTGCAACAGTAGCAAGAAAAGGTACGCACAGTACGCACATGTTGAGAAGGACTGACAAAGAAACACTCACAGAAAGATACAAGAGAAGAGCAACCAGAGGAAAAGACAAGCAAATGCAAAAGAGACTCAGCAGAAATCAAGAAACGCAGCAAGTCATCTTTTAAAACTCTGCAAGGATTTTACAAAAAAGATTTTTTTTTTCTCCAGACCTACATTATGGCCTCGATGGGGATGCAGATGTTTGCTAGTGGCCTCTGCCTCCTCGGTTGGGCAGGGGTCATCGTCATCTGCTTACTGCCAATGTGGAGGGTCTCGTCCTTTGTGGGCACCTCCATCGTCACCTCCCAGATTTTCTGGGAGGGTATTTGGATGGCCTGCGTGGTCCAAAGCACAGGTCAGATGCAGTGTAAACCTTACGAGTCCCTCCTTGCCCTCAGTGGTGACATGCAGGCTGCCAGAGCTCTCACTGTCATTTCAATCACTGTAGGTGCAGCAGGACTTATTATGGCCTTTGTTGGAGGAAAGTGCACCCGCTTCTTGGATGAAACTGGAAATGGGGCAAAGGGCAAGGTGGCTGTTGTGGCAGGAGCAATGTTGATGGCTGCAGGTCTGTTCTGTTTGATTCCTACATCTTGGGTGGCTGGGGCTTTAGTGAAGAACTTCTACAGTGCCTACAGTGATGCTCAGAAGAGGGAGATTGGTGCCTGTCTTTACATTGGCTGGGGAGCATCTGTTTTGCTTGTTCTGGGAGGCGGTTTATTCATCAGCTCCGCACGCCCCATAAAAGCCCATGACACAGAGAAGAGGACGTCTGTGCATTACCAGGTGGTTCGCTCCTACAACGGGTCCAACCTGGGGGGTTCTCATCGCAGCAGGGCGCCATCAGCAAAGTCACTGCCTGTTGGAGTGGACTACCCCAGGCCTCATGGCTATGAGGGAGTGACTTCAAAGCCCCAGCAGTACCCAAGGCCTCCATCCTATCAGTATATGTCTGAGCAGGGCTCAAAAGAGGAGTCAGAGAAATCATGGGCACCTTCAACAAAGTCACAACTGAAAAAGGCAGACTCGACAAAATCGAAACACAGTGATGTACCATCTACAAAGTCTCAGCTGAAAGAAGCAGAAATGGACACCTTATCAGTTAAGAGTGACGGGGAAGATTTATCCTCAAACCCACCAAAGACATACTTATAATATAATTACATATAATTAAATATGTGTACTTATGTTGGCACAAAAGACAGTTTACTATACTGCTATTTATAAGTTGCCTTTTCTTTGTTTGTGAGTGTGTACTGACTTTATTTGGGTATAAATATACTCCATGATGCTTCCTTTTTAAAGGATGAGATAGAAAAGTTCAGGAGTACATTTATCAACATGCCAAAGAAATGTGTGAAGAATGCGACAAATTAACTTCTAACAAATTCCTATTTAAACTCTGTTACTGTAAATGTGAAACATTAATTTGCTACCAGATATATATATATATATATATTTTTTTTTGGTGTTTACCTCAGACTTTTAAAGTTCTCGTTTAAAATGGGCAGCAGGGTTTTACCTTTGAGTAGACACATATTTTATTAGACACATACACATTATACATTAATTGAAAGCATTACATTATTGAATGCGCTCTTTGGTGAATATCTCTATGAAGAAATTCAATTATTGAAAATACAAAGTTTTGTTATTTTGTTATTTTAATGATCATGCCATTTGGCACAGTGAAATGTCATTGCACTATGTTGACTGATACTTTTGCATTTGCTGTTCAATAAATGACTGTGAGCTGATCTGAAAAGTATCCGGCTAATTTTTACATAATGTGAGGCATGAGGTGGAAAAGGGCCTTTTAGAATCCCCCTGGACTATCAGTCCTGTTCCTGGCAATTAAAAGCCACAGGACAAACTGGTTTGGCAGAAAGTAAAGTTACAGGCAGGTGTGCAGTGTTAAAAGAGGAAGCATTGTGTGTTTGTTGAGGATTCAACATTTAGTTTCAGTGAATCATGCTCGTATCATGTGATCATGCATGTTGTTTTAATTACTTAGTGATATTTTGAGCTGCCCAAAATGCAGTTCCTTAAATAGAAATATGCATCTGTCATGTTGTGTCATGTACAAAAGCTTTCTCTAAGGTTATGCCTGTTGCAAGCATGTCTTAAAGCATGTTTTAAGACCTGATATGACTTCACTTGTATAATCTACACTGTACTACAAAAGCATTGCACTACTCTACACATCACCAGATAAGCACCCATCCTCTTGCCTTCCCAAAGCTCTTCTTACTCCTCAGCTTCAGCTCACATGGTTTTGCATTGACGACTGTCATGGTGATTTCAGTAGGCCATGCAAATGTATCTATCTGGTGGTAACAGAAGGTAACCTGGTAACCTTTTTCTGCAGAAAGCAGGAAACATGATTAGGAGTGATCATATTTTGTATTACAGATTTTCCCTCAAGCAACATTTGCATGAAAGTGCTGAAAATTCAGTATGATTAAAACAAAAAACAAAAAAAAGTGGCTAAACTGGATTTTACCAGGTCTGTTGACATTGCACAGCTTTCCCATGACAGCAACAGAAATGTGACTAAAACTAAGAGCTCAAGAAATCTTAACCACATCACAAAATTCTGCAGAGGTGAAGGAAAGTGTGATTGAAAACAAGATAATCTACATATGTAAACTGACCTTAAATCAACTTTGCATCATGCAAAACCTGACAGCCAGCAGACAATTTCACAGCCTTGACATTGTCGAACAATTAAACATCCACACACCCAAGAGAAAGAGCAAATTAGGACTTACTATTAGGGCAAAAGGTAGCAAATGACTTATATGTTATTTGCTTTTTATTCCAAAGATCTCTTCAGCTCATAATGCACTGCGATAAACCCAGAGAGAAATATGACCAATAACAAAATGGGTGACTGATAAGCAGTCATCCAGCCAGAGCCTACAGATGGATAGTGCACGCAGATAGTGCATGCAGAGCAGCACTGCTATATCAGAGACAAAGATGTGAAATTTTCTGCATAAATGGACCAGCAGGAATACTGAGTGACACTTTAAACGTTGTTTTTAAAAAAAAAAAAAAAAAAAAAACCATTTCATACACATTGCTGTTTTGTCCTTCACAAAATGCGGTATGGTTCGAGCTTGCTTACACTGCCACCTGTTGTCCTTTTCTTCGTCTCTGGCTCCCCCCCCCCTTCTACCTGTCCCTCCTCTCTGTGTGTGATGGATGCCTGCATGTCTTTTTTTTTTTTTTGCTCTATAGCCAATTCATACACTCTAGGCTCACACTTACATTTTTATTGTATTCTTTTGTTTGTCTTTAGTCTAACACAATGTAACATTTGAAAAGAACATTTAAATATATTGTTAGTCCTTGGGTGAATGAAATTAAGTCTTTCTAGCTTTCTAGACTAAGAATCAGGTCTAAAGAATCCATGTTTTATCCTCCAGAGGAGGAGGATAAAAAAGGAAGGAGGAAAGGAGGGAAAAAAAAAGGTTTAGTTTAACTTTTTTTGTGATTTGTGTCCACTACTGGATGAATGGAATGGAACACATGGATAGGCTGGGTCTCACAAGGATATGAACACTGGTTGTATGTCTTCAAAAATATAAAATTTTAGAAATCCAGCCCAGTGACCCAAGCAAAAATTTAGAGATTCACTCCTCAAGACGTCCATATGAAATGCACACTGACCACTAGGCTTTCAGTCACCTAAAACTGTATCTGATGCTGTATATAATATTGTTAAACAGGGTCAGGTCATTGGTAAAACATCTACACTTCATCTTGGTTGCTTAACATAAAATCCACCGCAGTGGTGTACAGAAGCATAATTGTCCAATTTCTCGTCGACTTGATTAGTTTTAAAATTTAAAACAAATAGCAAATAAAGTTAATAAAGTTTTAAGCACAAAGGGGATAACCTAGCATCTGAGCCAACTGAATCACTGAATTAGAAAATGTAACCTCATAAACTCACTTATTAGTGGATGGCAGATATTAATGCACAAGAGACACAGTTACAGACGCAAGTTATACAACCACTTATTTAGAAAATGGTTCATTTACTTTCAATAAGGAAAAATCTGTTACTCAGTTGCAAGATACTCATTTGGTTGAAAGCAGCTTTCCATCTTTGAGCCTACTTAATTCTGCAAATGCAAAAATCAAGCCTTCCTTTTTAATCTTACGTCAATTTTATCCAGTTTTTGTTTCTTCTCTAATAAGTCTATTTTGCACCTTTGCTGGTGTGATTTTAAACCACCATACACTTTTGTGATATATGTATAATTATAGTTTCTTGTAGAGATATACAGCGCCAGATATGTAGCCATCCTCGTGCTCCGACACAGCTCTCTCCCAGTTTTCCACCTCTGTGACCTCCACACAAGTCCAAAGCCCCTCGTTCTCCATCTGCCTGAGCTCAGAGTCAAGAAAGCCTTTGTACTCCAGGTTGTCCTGGTTACTTCTGGTAGTCATGCAAATGTAGCCACCTGGTGGAAAGAGATGATAGTGCAGTAAGTGATGAGAGCTCATCTTCAGTAAAGTGATGGGAAACTGTAGGTGAGACAGCACTGGAACAACAACAACAAAAACATATTCACACCTGGTTTGGTGGACTTGCACAGATCTCTGACCACAGCAGGAGGGACATGACCAAAACTTAGTCCTCCAACAATCACAACCACATCAAACGAATCTACTGCAAAAGGTAGAAAAGGGGAATTAGTGCTTTAAGGATAAGGCTTGGACTTAAAAGATGGGCATAATCTTTTAACATGAAAGCATGTCCTTATAAATGGTAAATGGCCGTATTTGTATAGCGCTTTACTTAGTCCCTAAGGACCTCCAAAGCGCTTTACACACATTCAGTCATCCACCCATTCACACACTTCAAGGTGATGAGCAAGCTATCATTGTAGCCACAGCCCCTGGGGCGCACTGACAGAAGCGAGGCTGCCGGACACTGGCGCCACCGGGCCCTCTGACCACCACCAGTAGGCAACGGGTGAAGTGTCTTGCCCAAGGACACAACGACCGAGACTGTCAGAGCCGGGGCTCGAACCGGCAACCTTCCGATTACAAGGGAACTGCCCAACTCTTGAGCCAATTAAATTTATAATTTAACAACATATAAAAATTATCTTGAGCAGAAATAAGGACAATTTCCTAATATGAGTACAGAGAATGACAATGACATAGGAAAGCAATAACAGGTAAGTGTTGTTTAAAATATAAAGATAAATAATATCATATGACAATAACAGTAATTCTTTTACTTTTTAAAATTATGATTTTAGATTTCATAACAATAAAAAAATGTGAAAACAATCACTTGAAATGCGATAATTTTAAAATAGCTCTGAAAAATAGAGACACACAAGCGCTAATCAAAAGCATCTTACCTGAGAACCGAAAATTAAATTACACAGTAATTAATGACTTGGATAAAATAATAATAAAGCTTTAAATACCCCACTGGATAGGCAGTGGCTCCTCTCCCAGCATGATCTGCTTCAAATCCTGGTACGACCCGCTCTGTCTTGCCAACTCCAACATAGCTTTGCTTCCATCTACCCCCACAAACTTTCCAAATCCAAGTTTCTTCAACTGTGCAACATGTTTAGGTTGTTATCAGACACATAGTTATTAAGTTGTAGAATCAAGAAAGAAAAGGTCACTACATTATAAGAAATTTCTAGACATTTATTAAGACTGAAAAAGATCAAATATCAACAATGTTTTCAAAAAAGGATTTGTCAGATATTAAATTGCAAATCACTTCATTAAGACTGCACATTTACAGTTTCTCCCTGAGGCCATGTGTTCTTTTTCTATTTTACCTGTGTGGCCACCAGTCCTGTACCACAGGCCACATCCAATACGACGGCACCTTCACGATCTCCACTGAAATGGGAAGAGATGCAGTTTGCTGCCAGAGTTGGTGCACGGTAATCCAGGACAGCCACATCCTACTCAAAAACATGAACAGTTACCCATTAATTATGTATGAAACACATACATAACATTGTTCCATCAGATAAATCCTATAGAACTGTAATTTGTACTCTTTTACTTTATATTACATATGTAACGATAAATTTCACAACATTGTATTTTCAGATGCATATTCTTCTTATAATAAAATTGCACTGTGCTAACAATTTCTTTTATTTACCTGGAAAAAAGTACCAATATTTTCACTATTATCTATTAGATATCCATCCAAAAGATTAGTACGTGTCAAACATTGCTAAAAAATTACAGTAGACTAAAGGTTATACCATACAAAACAGCAGAGTGACAAATGTAACATTAGTGCCTAAAATTATAACAATACAGATAACATTTAAGCATGTAAACTACAAGGAACTAGAATAGAAAAACAAGCCATATAGGCAGTGATGTGGCTAATAATAAAAATCAGCAAGTATTAGTAAAATATAAAAGGTAAGGTTATCTCACCTGATCATAGTTCTCTGCCCAGGAGTTGTAAAAGGAGACCTTGTCCGTTGATGTTGTGTTTTTATGGGCTGACAGAATAACTGCTTTCACATTTTCAAATGTGTTAGCCACAGCTGACATTATATACACACCTGCTGAGAAGAAACAAACATAGTCAAGCAAAATCAGAACAACCAGAGACTCCAAGTGTGCATACACATTACAGATACAGTCTTAATATACAGGTAGCGTACATTCTTTGGTTCATTTTCTAGCAAATTTAATTTTTGGTTTTGAGATTTTAATTGCTCTGTCAGTCATCATAAATTTAATTTGTTCGTCTACTCAACAGATCTGTTGACTACTTTCACATTAGCCTAATTAAAGAGCAAAAATGAACAATTTTGGAAACTAAAACCAGCATACGTTTGTCTGAACAGACGGAATCATTAATCAATTAACACAACAGCTGCACATTATTATCATTATTATTTTTATTGTATTATTATAACTTCTGCAATGTAGTAAATGACACGGGCTCTTTCGGCTTGCACAGTCACTTGTCTGATTTCTTTCACGGTTGTAGAAGACACAATCTGCTGCATACATACATATATGTATACGTGTCAAGATACAGAGACAGGGCGCCAGTTTACCAGCGGTCGTCTCCCTGGATCTTTCTTCTTTCTCCGTTCACACTCCAACAATAAAGACAGGATTACTGCTGCAAACTGAACCGGGGACACCGAGAGCCTGTGCAGCAACACCAGGAAGCAACCAATGAAAGAGCGGGCACGCTATTCCCTCAGTAAAGTCTTTCAGGTAAAGAGGCAGCTTTCTCTGCTCTTTTTCCGCCATAAAGAGGCGTTTACATTCTTTCAGATTATTTTCTTTCCTATACATTTTATTTTATAGTATGTGATCTTTGCTAGCTGCTGCATTCACGGCCACACACCACGCCTGGAACCAGTATTTCCCAACAACCACCGAAGGAGGCCTTTGAACTCGCGCTTGCTCATGCGCAGTAGCGTTATCCACAGTTGCTATTCGTGTTCCCACCTGTAGAGTGTTTGGGAATCAAAACAAAAATCTTCTGGAAAGTCGTCCTAGATTTTAACAGAAAGCTAACCCACCTAAAACCGAGAGAGTTAGCACAGTTGTTCCCAAGTGTTATTTGAATCAGCTTTAACATCTGAATTTCGCTTAATTAGATGTATTTCATCATGGGAGTTTCTCAAAAGTTTCGCTCTTTCTACAACTTTTTCTGCTCGGTTTTCGTGGCATAGCTGGGAAGCTAACTGCTGTTTGTTGTAGTAAATGTTAGCCTAGCATTGCTCTCCCCACACAAAAGCCCTGCCTCTTCTCAGAGTTGTTGGACACCAGAAGTTTCAAACTTTATTAAGCGGTAATGGCCCCATCTAACTTTTTCATGCATGTTGTTTTGATTAATTTTTTTCGTATCTCTAAAACCGCTGGAAAAACTAAATTATCGTTTGGATGCTAAAGAGAACATGATCAAGAAGCAGTTCCTTCCATGCGCTTAACACCGTAAATTACATTAAAAACGTGCTACTTAAGTCATGAGTTGGTTCATCGTATCACTTGTTAAATGTAATTTGTAGCTCTATAATCTGTTGTTAATTTTTTTCCACAGCTTTTTGACCGAAACGTCTTCAAAATGTCTATCCTGGGATTAAAGAAGAAGCAGCCAAAGACTTTTAAAGTCAAAGTTATCACTATGGATGCTGAAATGGAGTTTAGCTGCGAGGTATGGATATATGCGAGCCTGTATGATATGTCGAAGTATAATAATTAACTGTGATTACATTTTTATATATAATCTTTGGCTCCTTTAAAATGAACCCCCAGATTAACAGTAAAGAATTGCTTGAAAAGTCCATGCATCACACCTTGCAAAAGTTAAATTGGGCAAAATTGTACGAGGCCTTTCACTGGTTTTAAACGTGAAGGGCACTGCTGTAATCTAAGACGCATGTCATGCAACCTCATGTGTGGGTTTACCCAGGAGATAGTTTATCAGCAGCAGTTATAGATCCTGACACACGTTATCTTGTGATTGATTGAGCAAGTAAATGACAGTCAACAATGGCTATACTCATGTGGGGCCTCTGCTGTGTGAAATAATACTGCTGCTTTCCCCCCACAAACACTGATATGTTATCTTTTTAAACCACAGCTCATTTTTGTCCTGTGAAAGATTACATTTCACAGGATACATTAGATTCTTGGGGATGTGTCCCACCTACACTATAACACACTGCAGGGAGCCCTGCCAGTACACCAGGATTGAAACATTCTCATAATAATTATTCTTACATTTTTCTTTATATTGAGGCAGGACAGTTAAAGGGCTCCAGCTGCAAATACCCTTGCTTTGAGCATTTTCACTTGCTCATATCTTTCTAACCCCTTTCTTTTCAGGTCAAGTGGAAAGGTAAAGACCTCTTTGACCTGGTATGTCGAACTGTTGGTTTGAGGGAGACCTGGTTTTTTGGACTTAGGTACACAGTAAAGGATACCTATGCCTGGCTAAAACCAGACAAGCGGGTAAGTGAAGGAATAATTCTAAGGAGATTGGCTTTGAGATCCAAAAATAAACAAATAAACCCCCAATTTAAAAAAAAAAAAAAAAGAGTGTAAAATGTCAATAAAAACATGGCGCAATAATTTACAGACCTCATAGAGCCACATGTTATTCACAATAGACTATAAATGCATATAAAATCTTTGAACGGCAAAAATGTCCCATTTTAGGAAAGTTGGGACAGGGTCATGTTTACCACTGTGAAGCATGCACTATTCTTTTAATACCAGCCTGTAAAAATCTGGAAAAGGAAGAGAGCCGCTGCTGGATTTCTGGGAGATGAATGTTGTCCCGTTCTTGTCAGAGTTAATATTCTAGTTAATATTCTAGCTTTTTAGTATTTTTTGTACCATGGAGTACCAAATGATTTCAGCTGGTGAACTGCAGCCAGGCAGTACCTGGACTCTACTACGAAGTATGGAATTATGGAAGGCTTTCCCGGAAAAAGAGGTCACCTGGATATTTGGAAGGTTATACAGGTTGCTTAAATAAGACATTTATATTGGCTAGATCAGTCAGCGTGCAAATATTTCTTCATGCTGGAAGAGAGAAATTCTAAATGAGTTGAGAAATTTGTTTTCCGTGGAATGGAACATGATGTTTTCTATGTTCTTCTGTAAAACATATATGGCTTTATAGGATCTGCAGATCACTGTATTCTGCCCAATACCCCAACTTTTTTGAATGGTTACACAATATAATAACTTTTCCTTTTCATCTTTCATCAAGGTCTTGGACCAGGAGGTTCCTAAGGACTCTCCCATAACATTTAATTTCCTTGCTAAGTTTTTCCCGGAAAAAGTAGAAGAAGAGCTGGTTCAAGAAATAACTCAACACCTCTTCTTCTTACAGGTACTCTGATAACTTTGTGGTGAAACCTTTAGGTGAATTTCTTTCCTTTAGTTTATTTTGAATTTGAACTCAACCTGTGTGTAGCATTTACCTCACGTCTAAGAAGCTTTTATGTAGCTCAGTACATGTTCACACATGTTGTCAAACTCTTGTTTAGGTAAAAAAACAGATATTAGATGAAGAGATATTCTGCTCCCCTGAAGCTTCAGTTCTGTTGGCATCATATGCCGTCCAAGCTAAGGTAAGAAAATTTGGAGGGTCAAATTCTCACTAAACCAGCAGTTGCTCGGCCTTCTTTTATCTGAAAATAATTAGTCTCCTGGAGTACATTTGCTGCTGGAGACCATCATGCAAATATGAACCAAAATCAATATAATGCAGATTAGTTATATGGACAGCATGAAGAGCAGTGCATTCATGAGATACAAAAGGGCTAAAATTTGATAAAGGGCAACTTATTTACTGCACAGATCCTAATGACCCATGTTATTCAACCAAACTCTGAATAAATATTTTCCTCTGTGTGTCATTAATGTTTGATTTGTTGTTTACTGTTGTTTCCCTTTCAGTATGGAGACTTTGATACAAACTTCCATAAACCAGGCTTCCTGGCACAAGATGAGCTTTTGCCAAAAACAGTAAGTATACAGGTCTCTGTGCAGATTTGACCTATGAAATGTGCTTCCCAGAATTATTTTCTTTTGTTAGCAGTCATTTCTGGCCAAGTTTGTCAGACACCATCTGTGCATTCAGTGTATTAACATTTTCCCTGTGATCCTGTGTCTTTATCCCAGGTTGTGATGCAGTACCAAATGACAGCAGACATGTGGGAGGAGAAGATCACAGCTTGGTATGCCGAGCACAGAGGCCTCGCCAGGTACAGCTGACCCAGGGGGCTGCTGAAGACCAGCATGTGAAGACTTATTAACACCTTTAGCAAAAGATTGCACGAGATCATGTAGTTTAAGTGTAATCTGTGTATCATTGTGTGATCCCCTTTCTTATTTTCACATCGTCCATATAGAGATGAAGCTGAGATGGAATACCTAAAGATTGCTCAGGATCTTGAGATGTATGGTGTCAGCTACTTTGAAATTACTGTGAGTGTGAATTAGTATGACTTGATTTCACATTTTTGAATCTGACATTTAACTTTGCTGTCTCTTGGGTTAACATTTGTGTTTCTACATATATTGGCAGCAAAATAAGAGGGACACAAACCTCCTACTTGGAGTTGATGCCCAGGGTCTTCACATCTACAGCCCCAACAGCAAACTCGCCCCTAACAAGTCCTTTCCTTGGAGCGGCATCCGTAATATCTCCTATAGTGAAAAGGAGGTAAGGGCAAGGAGTGGGCTGTCCTGCAGACAAACTGGGCATAATGCTCACATCCAAAATAATATGCTTAAAATACTCTTAGATTGATATATTTTGTCTGCAATTTTTTTGCCTCTCATTACTTTCCTGCCACCTGAATTGAGACACTTGTGGGTATTTTTAAATGGCTGTTTTGTATTACTGTGTCTGTGTATCTGAGAATCCATTAAAAACATAAATGCAGCATTCATGGGCACACTTGGATTGTATTCCACATCTTTGGTCCTATTCCAACAAATTTGTATTTTCAACATTTTAATGTCATCCAGTCATTCTGGCCTAGGGAAGAGTTGGTGAGTACAGATTGATCAACAGTGAGTAACAGCCAGCAACCTCCATGGGTTGCTGGCTGTTACTATATGAATTCCGTTACAAGGTTTGCTGCACTAGAAACCTTCTTGCAATTTGTTTTGGGTCCTAACAGACACTTTGATTCGTAATTTATTTCAAACATGTAAACAATATACCGGTACATTTAGAAAAGAAAATAAGAAAGAAAAAATAATAATATACAAAAAAAAAATCAATACATTTCAATATAGCTACCGTTCTGATTAATTTACATGTTGAAACGGAGTGGGAAGAAGTAAACGCTTATTTAATCCCACCCCTCTGCCATAAATTATCAGTTAATATTTAGTCAGCTTCCTTACTGATAGAATTTGTAATAAAAGTAGTGAACAGATTTCTATAATATCACATCATGATTTATTTTATTTTTTTTAAATAGAGACATTCACTTAATTTTAATATTTTCCTTTTCTTTTCAACCATAGTTTGTGCAAATATACCAGATTTCCTGGAAACACTCGTTAAATACTAGCTGAGTGTAAGTCTGGACAATATATTGAGTTTTTAAGACGTATTAAAAAGGATGCGGGATGAGACAATGTTGTTTATGTTTCATTAAAATTATACTCGATGAGCAGCCGTAGCACATTCGACTAAAAAGAAAAGATCACTGGCAAGCTTCTTGGAACATAGACTGTGATGCTGATTCTTTCAAATGGTGGAAGGAACATAAAGTTGGCTATCCAGCAATGAACTGCCTGGCCAAAAATGATCTTTGTGTGCCAGCTACCACACACCCTTATGAAAAGCTTTTCAGTTACAGCTTAACAATGTAACCTGTCACAGGGCATCTTGCTCTGTTTTGTTGTTGTTGTTTTTTATATATATATCTATATCTATATGTATATATCTTTATAATTATTCCCAGTTTTTACAAAGAAACTCACTGGCTAGAAAAAGGGATAGAATTTTCCTCATTTTATTCCATTTCATACTTTTCCATGCAAGCGTTGCATTTTCTTGATTGCACAAATGTGAGTCTTTGGTATGCAAGAAAATAACATTTTATTTAAGGGGCATTGTTATTTAATATATGCAGATAATTAACTTTTCTTATTTATATTTTTGTAACATTTTCCATGTACATCTTAAGTTGTATGTTAACAAACGTGCCTGTGTGACAATTGGTTTTGATTTTGAACTGCCTTTTTGTTATATTATTACAGCCTTACAGCTGTGTATTGGAAACTGCTTTCTTTCAGTGTCATATTTTCTTTCATATTGATCTGTTGTAAACTGTGCTCTCGGTTAATCTGCATGTTTTGTTTTTTGTTTTCATGTTGTTCCAGTTCACAATCAAACCTCTGGACAAGAAGAAAGATGTTTTCAAGTTCTACTCATCTCAGCTGCGTGTCAACAAGCTGGTTGGTTTGCCTCTGTGTTTGTGATGTCATCTACTTAAAGGTTAAATGTTGTATGTCGTAAGTTTGTGCTGATTATGTTTCACCTGACTCCTTAGATCCTGCAGTTGTGCATTGGGAATCATGATTTGTTTATGAGGAGGAGGAAGGTGGACTCAATTGAAGTGCAGCAGATGAAAGCTCAAGCCAAAGAGGAAAAGGCCCGCAAGAAGGTCTGTGGTCTCAACTCCACTGGAACATCACATTAGATAGGATGCTCACAGTGATCCATCATAAATCTTTTATTGTGGTTAACAAACTTTAAATGGGCCGCCATGTAGATGGAGCGCCAGATCCTGGCACGGGAGAAACAGATGAGGGAGGAAGCGGAACGGGCAAAAGAGGAAATGGAAAGAAGACTGTTCCAGCTGCAGGATGAGGCACGACTGGCTAATGAGGCACTGGTGAGAATATTGTCATTTACCTGAGATAACTGTTGAATTTTCAGAGTTTATCTTATGCAACTTTGTAAAAATTTGGATTAAATGTTAAATAAATTTTGTCCAGCTGCGATCTGAGGAGACAGCAGACCTGCTGGCAGAGAAAGCTCAGATTGCTGAGGAAGAAGCGAAGCTGTTGGCCCACAAAGCTGCAGAAGCTGAGCAAGAGAGGCAGAGGTTAGAGGTCACAGCCATGAAGACCAAGGAGGAGAAGAGGCTCATGGAGCAGAAGATGAGGGAGGCGGAGCAGCTGGCTGTAAAACTGGTGGAGCAGTCTGAGCGGAGGTCTGAAATCATTTGAGTTTTTATTTGAGATATTTTCATTAGTTAAAATTTAATCCCCTTATAACTTTTGTCCGTGCATAACATTTATCAACTGGTAACTAAATAAATGAAACACTATTAATAAAAGTCCTCTAAAAATATTTCACATAAACCTGCAAAGATTTAGCCGAAGCCGGCATGTGGTGGTAATTTTAAAAAGAGTTTTCCACTTATTCTATTTTCAAAATGAGTAAAAAAAAAAAAAAAAAGATGCAGGAAACCCGAGATATGCTTTTGATTCCATCCAGTTTTCTTCCCTCTCAAAACCCAGCATTCCTCCTCAACCACCAACAGCATTGGGGTTCACTTCTAAAATGAATGTGTTAGAAAAACTGTGTCTGTTGCTCTGTCATTATCTTGATTCTGTTATAACATTAAGGCTGGGTTTAAACATGCATTGTTAAACTCAAAGGCACATGATCCCTTAAACTTAATTACTGAAATCACCTAAACTCAACCTAAACCTAAACTGCTATATATAAATGTGCTAACTGTGCTATGCATAAATAGGTCTGCAAATCACTTCGATAGGAGGATAAAAGCCCCCCAATTGTCATGTCATCGAGAGACACATGATGATCTTCATGTCTTTGATAAGAAGCCTATAATGCTTCATTTGTGTTCCTTTTGTTTCAGAATAAGTTGTAAAAAGAAAAGAAAAAAGTACTGCTCTGATAATAATCACATGTATTTAGTTTACTCTTAGTTGAACTGACTAAATCTTTGATTCCAGGTTGAAGGAAGCTGATCACCTGAAACAGGACCTGACTGAGGCAAAGGATGCTGAGAGGAGAGCCAAGCAGAAGCTGCTGGAGATCACCAAAACAACCTACCCTGTACGTTGATCACACTACTGCTTCTCTGATCTCTGTGATGCCTGGATTTCTTTTGTAGATTGAAGGAGTTTGTTTTCATTATAAAAGCTCTGATCTCCGTGTTATTACGCTGCAAAGGCCATTGATTAGCTGCTCTAGGTAATTTATGAGCTTAATATGGACCATCAATTTGAGATCTTCAAAGTTATTTTTTTAGGGAGGATTATCATTGTTCTATAACTTCCCTCATTTATTTCTTGAAGTTAGCGATTTCATGTTTCCCAGAATGTTTTTAATGGCAAGAGAAGAGGTGCGAAATCTGTGGGTGTTACTAGTATTGCAGATTTATATTTATTAGTGTGGATAATTGACGAGAAAAAACCCACAAAACATTAATGTGTTTTATATCATTCACTATAAATGGACTTTGTTAGTAACCAAGTTAGATAGAGAAAGCTGTATGCTTTTATGTGTTATTGCTCAAAATGAGGGATTTCAAATAGCAGTGGTATTACACACAAAACTGAATGTTCTGATAATGATAATTCAGTGAATTATTTTGGTTTTTTGCCCTCACGTGACCCCAGATTTTAAAAGTGTAATGTACTTTACCTTTGTGAATATTTATACTTAAATGACATCTGTGTGCTTGTCTTCCAGCTCATAGCAGCTTATTCTGCTCCCCCTGCTCCTCCTGCTCCTCCTGAAGCAGCCGACTTTGCCTGCGAGTCACCACCTGCACGCCTCGACTTCAAGGACTCCGACATGAAACGGCTCTCTATGGAGATTGAGAGAGAGAGGTAAGCCGGGGTTTAAATCCCCTGCAACGGCACTTTAGAGTGACAGTTTGGCTGTTTGTTGATGATACTGTGGCATGCATAAATACAGGCTGGAGTACATGGAGAAGAGCAAACATCTTCAGGACCAGCTGAAGGAGCTCAAGTCTGAGATCGAGTCTCTGAAGCTGGAGGAGCAGCAGCAGCAACAGGCCAGTCTCTACAACCTGCACAGTGAGGCGAGGGGGTACATCCCAGAGCCCGTCTACATAGCTCACAGCAACGTACGTATGAGCCATTCATGTAATGTCATTCGTTTTATTGATGCTTAGTTATGTGTCAGAGTGTTAGTATAACCAAACCAGTAACTGCAGCTCACGCCCACTAATGATCCTAAGACCCAAACTCTTCCACAGCATGCATTTTGAATTTCTTTGATATTTGTGCTGATTGGGACCTGATGAATGTAAAAACAAAGAATTACCAGAAAAAATTTTTACCTTATTTTTGTTTTTAAGAAAAATGAGAGCCACATATGAGGATATTCGTTTAAAATTTTGATAGAACAGTAGCAGTATAATGTCCTCGTAAGTGGATATCAGGCCCTTGTAGAGCAAAATTGAGTATTTTGGTCTAAATAACCCAAAACGTGATGCCCACATATGTGGATGCCAGGTCCTAGGAGGTTAATCAGGTTGTGAACAAACATCTGATATCCAAACATAACCTTTTCATTCAAAATGAAATTTTGGACAGTTTAAGTGCAAAATGTAATTTTTTGGGGTAATATTTCTTAAAATTTCAAAAATTCTAGATTAACATTAACATGCAAAAAGCAGATTGTGTTTATCATTTATTTTTATCTTATATTATCTCCTAAGGTCATTGATTGTTTTCATTTGTAGCACATTTATAAATGTTCTAATTTAAAAACTCTTCAGCATAAACTAGGTTTACAAGAAACACGCAGTCCACCGCAATCAGTTCAGTTGAATTCAGTTTTTATTTGGCCTGTGTACTCACTGCATCACTGGTAATTACTGTTTGTCCTGTTGAGCTTGAATCACTGCTGGAATTTCAGATCTCATTATCCAAAGGACAACCAGAGCACCACAATATGTCTCTAACACGAATTTAAGAAAAGTCTAGATTAAAGAAAATGTTATAATGATGACAAATGAGGTTTAAAGTGGAGTGGTTCTGTACTCAAAGGTTATTCATCGTCCTGGCTTTCTTTCATATTAAATTCAGTCCTTTGACTATACTGATGTGAAAACATCTTCAAAGGAATTGCTTTTGTTATGTCAATATTTTACCACATAGAAGAAAATGATTTCAAATTGCATCTTAACATGTAACACAAACCGTTGCACTTCGAATTCTCGCATTTCTGTTTCACCGAGTTAGCCCTGAAGATAGCAGAATGTAATATACAGCCGTATACTGATGATTCAGTTAAATTAAGGATATACCGGATCAGCAGACTTGGTAAATAGTTACTGTTGTAAATACTTTGTAATGCCAAAAGCATTTATGTGGCAAATATGAAATACTTGAAAATGTTTGCATTTGTATTTTTAGAATTACTGATTACTCCATGATTGCTCACGCTTCTCTTGTTTTGCAGAGAAACTCTGCATACATGTCTCAGATGGCCTTCTTTGAAGAAGTGTGATCCTGGCCCTTTAAAATTGAGGGAGCAGTTGCTGTGACGCTCTGCTTCCTCAGCCTGTTTGGTTAACGTTTACCTGACTGAAGCTAACAGACAGAAACTCTATGTTCTTTGGAAAGACTTTGAAATGAACTAATAACACTTGTGTGGCTTCCTGCGCAGACTGTTAGATTAAGTTTTGCCACCTGCAACACCTGCAGCATGTCAGCATCTAGAAAGAGTGCATTATTGGATGAGCGCTTCTTCAAGATATGTTGCTGAGGAGTTTTTATTTCATGCTTTTTGTTTGGTTTTAATCAATACTTAGCTGTAATGTGGTCAAATACAGAACTATGCCTGCTTAATGTCGAGATATCCATTTGTGCCTTAAAATACTTTAAGACTGGGATTGTGTTAAAAAAGAAATTACGCTGCAACGTTGGCAAAGTTCGGATCAGTTGTGATGTCAGCTGCGGTGAATGTCGTAAACAGGGTTCCTTCCACAGAAGCAAGATATTCTTCAGGCATGGGTTAGAGTTCAGATTTACCAACTGTTGTTCAGTAACACTCTGAACATAGACTGTATGTAAACGAAAGGCTCTGGCCCCAATATATAGAAATCTATGAAAAACAATCTTGCTGCTCATCTTATTTTATTACCTAAACACTTTGGTGATGAAGTTATGGTCTCACTCTAGCTTCTAAGGTTGTTTTGTGCTTTATAAATAACGTCCCCATTTAGAGTGTAACAGATGATAAAATGCATGTGATTCACAGTGTGGTTTCCTTCTGACTGACAAAATACCGTCATACGAGGATGTAGTGCGTCTGGTTTCTCACTCACTCAGATCCTCCTCTTGCTTAAAATGCCTGGTTTTAAAAGGCATGAACATATATATACATGGTGGTGCTGCCAGTGGATGCTTCTCTGCTCCTACTGTCCGGCTCAGGAGATCTGACAAAGATCGCTGACCTATTCATGCATAAAATGCCAGACTTGTGTCCACTTTTGTTGATGTTTTAGTGAAAGAAATGCCAAAACAAAGGCAACAGAGAAAAACTTTCCACAAGTGAAAAGTTGTTTCACATTATTTTAGTCTTTTAAACATGTTTAATTTGATATGTCGACATCAGTAATCTGACTTTAGGCTAACTTAATGTTCAGTCACTGTTATTAACATTAAGTTATATTAGCTAAAGAGGAAAAAATGGAAAGGTTTTTATTAATGTAATAAATTAGAGTTAAACTGAGAATGATATTTGGCTACTGTTGTTGTATGTGTTCTTATTAGGTACTTCTAAGTAGAGCAGGGCAATATGACCAAAAATATTTATCACGATATACATTTGAAAATTTGCGATAACGATATAACTGACGATATAATTGACACTAGACAAAATACTTTACAATCCACAACTTTATTAATGCAAAAAAAACCCATCAATGTATTTTCACTTAAACAAGCAGCTTTTTTATGTGCATTAAATGGTAAATGGCCTGCATTTGTATAGCGCTTTTCTAGTCCCTAAGGACCCCAAAGCGCTTCACACTACATTCAGTCATTCAAACACACATTCACACACAGGCGATGGCAAGCTACATTGTAGCCACAGCTGCCCTGGGGCGCACTGACAGAGGCGAGGCTGCCGGACACTGGCGCCACCGGGCCCTCTGACCACCACCAGTAGGCAAACATGGGGTTATTATCATTAAAGTTATATAAAAATGTAACAGTGCAAATGCAAATTCCTTGCTGACAGTTTAACCAAAAGGCATTTCCAGTGGAAATTGGCCGACATATCCTCAGCATAACCATGTATAATATCCACAAAACTTAAAAAGAGGTTATACACACACAATACGGTAATATTATGTTGAAGCACAGTACGTATCACTCCGCGAGGCTCCTGCCTACGATAGCCATAATGCTCCGACAATCCATCAAGCAGTGCGGGTTCATGGCTTAGCAAAGTTGTACTAAAACATTTGACAGATTTTCGAGCGCCGTGTACCACATAAAATCGTTTCCAGGTCAGTAAACACAACCAGAATTCAAACATAAGGCACAAAGGATTATGAGGGGCGCTGTCGATTTTCAGAAAAATCAAAGGATTGATTTTAAGTGTGCCGTATTTTCCAAACAACACGGTAATAACGACAGCCCGCTAGCATGCTCTACCGCAAATAGTGCTTTGTTGTGTATCTGACGGATGAAAGCCAAACCAGCTCCACACCACTGAAGTTGCAGCATTTTTACAAACCAATTCTGGTTCATCCGTTTCATTTAACAATCCAATTTCTCTCTTCTCATTCTGCGTCGCCGCCATGTGCAAACAAAGGCACTGCGCATGCGCGTTTTACCCATATTCTATCGCGATATTTCATTTTCCTATCGTTGCCCAAAATTACACCGGTATTACCGTGAACGGTATGATATGGCCTAGCCCTACTTCTAAGTACTTAAGAAAAGAAAAATCTGCCCGAGTGTACCTGAAGCACAAAGAAATGGACAGAAATATAAATGTATGTACAGAAGAGACTTTGAGCCGCATTACAAGTCAGGAGACTCCTTTGGTGGTCCTACGTGTTTCTTTTACTTGGTTTGTGAAATGCCTTCAATGAAATCATCACACAGGAGCCTGTATTGTTTAATAGAAATGCTGTAAAAGCTTGAGATCTGCCATTTCAAGGTTTTATATTTTGTACTCTACTGCTGATGTGCCTTAATTTTATGTTATTTTATTTTTTGCTGTTACACTTTAAGACACAAAGATTTTATTTGGTGTCGTTGTGCTTTTTGATCTTAGTATTAGGGTGACTTTAACTTTGTGGGTGATATCTTTCTCTTAATTCCTTGACAGAGTGGCAGATGGATGGCTTTTTTTCTTTTCCCCACATCACGCACTTCTCAGGGTTAGTGTTAAACACCCCACGCCTTCACCGTCACCACCACCAAAGATGCAGTATGGTATCTAACAGCGTTTAAATTAGATAGGTTTAATAATAATACGCATGTAGAAGACTAATGCAGCGATCTTTAGACTTCTTTTATATTCTGAAAAAAAGCAGCGGCTGGATGTACTCATTGATCGTGTTTGTTTATTTGACCAGCCTATCAGAGAGATTAAATTATGGGCTCAACATGGGGTCGTTACACTAACCTTGGTATTGTGTAAATGGTATTTTCCTTTGAAGTGTTCTTAAGTACTTTGTTTTTTCTGTTTTTACCTTATTTATTTGTGCTGTAAGTCCTCAATTAACGTCACATTTGCTTGATATCTGTTATTGGGGGGAGAGCGGGTGTTTGTAATTTAGTCTTTTATTTTTCTATAATGAGATTCAAATCCAGTGTTAAAGAATGATTTCACATCAAAAAATGTTGGGTTATGTTTAATTTGAAGTGACAAAATGTTAGTTTCATGAGTTTTGTCATTGATTTGTAACCAAGTTATTATGTGTATATTATTTCATAACAATGATAATACAACAGTGTGACTGTCCTGTCTGATCTATCTTCTCATAGATTATGAGTCAGGCATATACACAGCAATTTAAGCGTGAGGAAGCGCTTTCAAAGCAGCTAAGGCTGTGTGATACAATAAATGAAAGTTTGCTAGATCTGATGATGCAGGTGTGGAAATTATCTGTGCATTATGTTATTTTGTTTATTGGAAACAAGTTAAAACAGAAAGCTAAACCATGCTAAAATGAAATTAAAAAGGCATTTAAAAGAAACTGACAAATTGTCAGTGTCATAATTACAGCAATCAAATATTAGTAAAAAAAAAAA